TAGGGGCCTGCCACACCTTTGGGGGGAGAATATTCCAAAGGGCGGGGGTAATGGCAAAGTAGGCTCTCCTGGGCCCCCCCAGCTGATATTCTCTTGCTGACAGGGTCTGCAACATGCCCTCTCTTCCTGACCAGGTGGGACAGGTCAATGTGATGGGGATGAGACAGTCCCTACATATAACAGAGTACAAAACCAAATATGAGAGAAGCATCCTAGCTAACCCTTCCCTATTACTTTTTTATTCACTTTTTACCTGAATCACTGCTTCTCCTGAAATTCCAGTTTAACCAGAGGCTATTAGAGATCAGAGATTTCCCCCCTCAGTCTCCACCTCAGCATAACTTTCTTAGAGGTTTTCAGAAATGTGAATTCTGATCTGCTTTCCTTACTCTGTCCCCAGAGAAAACCAGCTTGGATCTTCAAAATCGACAGAGGTTTTCCTCTCTCCAAAAGGATTGGCAACTCCCTAGCCTTGGCCTACATGCTGTTAGGTATTGCTTTTTCAGGTGGTGTGGTGGGTCTGTCTGACCTGTCAGTGAATAGGACAGCTTGCCCAAGCTGGCCTGGACATTCACTGCACAGACTTTGCCTGATACCCTGGGCGGACCAGGGTCAGAATTGTGTATGGAATTTTTAGGGTTCTTATGTGAAATGGCACATTAAACCTCCGTAAAGCTTAAGACCCACACTGGGTTGTTCAAGCCATCTTCATCCTTTTGCTCAAAGTAAAGTAGGAAGACTAAAACTTGGGCTTTGGTTATACTTGGGGAGAATATTTTTGGGAGCTACTGAAGGGTGCTGGAGACTGCATATGTTCCACTGGCTTCAGTGTTTGCATTCCTGCCTTAGGATTGTTCATACTTTGGTAAATGAACAGAGATAAAATGTGGGGCAAAAAGCTTTTCCTTAGAGGAACTAATTGCTCTAAGCACAGGAGCAGCTGTGTTACTGCTATGAGAACTGCTGCTTGAAAATTGATCACTGTGTTATGATTCCTACAGGAACAATGCCTGAGGCTGCACTGGTATATTTGCTTCATGCAGGAAAACAAGAGGTACTTGCCATCTAATAGGATAAATGCAAAGTAGCAAACAAATGAATATTCAACTTCACTATATGACAGACATTTATTAATCAGGATGTTAGGTAACTGACATTCTACTTTTTCAAAATATTTTCAAGCTACACTGGAAGTTGGCAAACCATGGAGGTTCAACAAACTATTTCCAAGAGAGGGACCTCACTGAATTTTAGAACCATCTCTAGCTTGCAAATATTGAAATTAAGTACAATAAACGTGTATGTGGAAATGCAGCATGGCAGAGGTAATTCCATCTCAGCGTAGTGCCAACTTTACTCATGAGTATACATCTACTTGTATAAGGCCCTTTCACTCATAACTATATGCACAGAGGCTCTCTACATGCGTTCAATGAATATAATAGAGGGGGGGGGGGGGTAAAATACCATCCAAATTGCAGCACTGCTTCCTCCATATTACGCTCACTGTATCATCTGAATGATTGCTTTGTTGTTAAGCAGTTTAGCAGATGTGCCCCCTTCCTTGCTTCCTTGCTTCCTCCCTCCCTCCCTTGGTCTTATTCAGAGACACAGCAAGAAAGCTTTCCCCATCATTCTCCACCACTGAAATAGTGTTTTGAATGAGGATGTTTGTTTAAAAAAGATGCTTAATTATTATATCTTTCTGAACATTGTATATTTTTCTGAAAATTGTATATTATACAATAAAATCGTATTTTGAAAGCATACCCTTTGCCATTAATCCTTGTCCGAACTGAAGTTATCTATCCTGTATTTAGAATATTTAGAATAAGGGGGCAATTACCTCCCAAACATATAAGCCTTTTTAATGCAGTAGATGCCTACTCTCTACCACAGTGTTTCTCAACCTTGGCAGCTTTCAGATGGGTGGACTTCAACTCCCCGAAATCCCCCCCCCCCCCCCC